AAGCTCGGCAATCAAACACTCTCAAGTGCTCATAAGACACATCTTTACTGGTCCAAACTCTTTCTGGAACATCACCATTCAAAGGATAGAAAGGTGACAAATTGATCACGTCAACCGCTGTCTTCAATGCCTCACCCCAAAAGGATCTTGGCAATTTAACTTGTGAAAGCAAACACCTTATTCTTTCCACAATGGTGCGGTTCATCCTCTCGGCAATTCCATTTTGTTGAAGAGTCTTCTTAACTGTCTTTTGATACTGAATACCTTGGCCGCGACAATACTCATCAAATGGCCCAATGTATTCACCACCATTGTCTGATCGTATGCACTTTAATTTCTGCCCTGTTTCTCTTTCAACCATGGCCTGAAAATGCTTAAATACTTCTAGAACTTGATCTTTAGTTTTTAGTAGAAAAATCTAAACTTTCCTTGAATAATCATCAATGAAAGTAACAAAATAAAGTGCACCACCATGTGTTCTAACTTTTAAAGGATCACAAACATCCGAATGAATCAACTCCAAAACATTTTCTTTTCTAGAAGCAACATTTTTATGAAAAGAAACTCTATGTTGTTTACCCGCCAAACAATGAACACAAGTTTTAAGATGTGTACCTTTCAAACCGGGTAGAAGGTCTTTCTTGAACAAAACTTGCTGCCCCTTTTCACTCATATGGCCAAGCCATTTGTGCCACAATTCAATAGAAGTATCATCTTGAAGTGCATTGACAACACCTTTACAAATTTTTCCTTACATCGAATAAAGTGTATGAGTCTTCTTACACTTAGCCACCACCAAAGAACCCTTTGTGAGCTTCCATATTCCATCACCAAATTTGTTGTTGTAGCTTGATTCGAACTAAGTCCCGAGCTTCCATATTCCATCACCAAATTTGTTGTTGAAGCCTTCATCATCTAGCTTCCCGGTAGAGATCAAATTGAGGCGAATGTCGGGAACATGCCTCACGTCTTTAAGCAATAACTTGCAGCCCAAATTTGTTTCTAAGCAAACATCACCCATGCCAATAATCTTTGACAAACCTTCATTACCCATTCGAACAGAACCATAATCTCCTTTGGTGTAGGTGGTGAAGAAATCAACTTGAGAAGTCACATGAAAAGAAACACCGATATCAATCACCCAATTGCTCTCTTGGCCCACAAAATTGATACAATCATCTTCACAAACAACCATGAGATCAGTATTGGTAGTAACTGCCGTTGTGTCTTCTTGCTTCTTGTCCACACTTTTGTCACGCCTTTTCTCCTTATTCTTGAGCTTTCGGCATTCTCGCTTCATGTGCCCTTTCTCATGGCAATAATAGCACTCAATATCTTTCTTTGAAAAAGAACCATCTTTTGATTTATCACGGCTTTGATCACGACCATGAGGAGTTTTACTCCTCCTTCTTGTTTTGCTTCGGCCTCTCACAACAAATGCTTCCGAATGAGAGGGACCCGCTGATTTTCTTCTAGTTTCTTCATTCAACAGGCTACTAGTGACTTGGCCCATTGTGACAACTCCATCGGGCGCCGAATTACTGACGGTCACAACCAAAGTCTCCCAACTTTCGGGCAAAGAACTAAGTAGCATCAAAGCCTGCAACTCATCATCAAAAACAATTTTCATAGAAGCAAGTTGGTTAACAATACTCTTTATTTCATTCAGATGTTCTGGAATAGGGCTGCCCTCTTTATATTTTAAATTAACCAACTTACGAAACAGAAAAACTTTATTTGTGGCTGATTTTCTTTCATAAAGACTCTCTAATTTTTTTCATAAATCATGTGCTGAAGTTTCAGTAGCAACATAATGAAACACACTGTCATCAATCCATTGACGGATAACACTGACGGTTTTTCGATTAAGCCTATTCCATTCATCATTTTTCATACCCTTGGGTTTGCCACTATCACCCTCAATGGGTCCATACAAATCTTTACAAAATAATAGGTCCTCCATTTTAGTTTTCCAAGTTACCCAATTGCTTCCATTGAAGCTAGACATACGACCCACATTCCCCTCCATTGATTTACACAAATAAATAAATCCAAATAAACCATAAGCTCTGATACCAGTTGTTAGTGAAAATATGTGATTCCCACAAGTAAATCAATCAATGGGAATAAAAACTAATGTGAAAAAATTAAATCAGAAGCAACACAAGAATTTTTACGTGGTTTCCTCAATGTGAGATATGTCCACGGGATCGAAATCCGATTCCACTATCAACCAAATAAGTTTCAAACGATTACAAACGAGACACAAATGGTCTCACAAAACCACCCTTAGGTGAATTCCAAATAATCACAAATAAACAAAGAGGAAAGACCTCACCAAATAAATGAACCAAAATCTTCAGAACCAGAGTTGAAGAAGACCCAAAATAACGACCCAAATCAACTTCACCAAAGCACCCAAACAAAGATGCACCAACATCAATTTGCTGCTGCTACTTACTGATTTTTCCGAAGCACTATCTCACCAAGAAAACGGCTGCCACTTTTCTTTGGGAAAAACAATACACACATTATAATATTGTGAATCTAGGGTTTATTATCAAACCTTAGTTGTTTCCAAATTGGATTGGGTCTCCACAAATATAATATATAAAAATATATTATACCTAAACGAAGCCAAATTAAAATTTTTTAACAAACTAATTGGGTCCCACACTCCAATAAGGAGGTATATCCAACAAGTGTTAGATTCGGTAATTGTGGATATGAAATAGCCGTAATTGTGGAGAGAGAAACAAATGCAAAATTTATATTTGTGAGTGTTTGATTCGTTTTGCATTTGTCACAAAATTTATATTTGTGAGTGTTTGATTCAAAATTTATATTTGTGAGTGTTTGATTCAAAATTACTTCATTTTGAAGGTAATATTGAATTCCCTGATTTGTCTTTTAGTCTTAATCATAATATGACAATGGCTCTGTTTGGTTAAGCAATTTTCAAAATCTGTTTAGTTTGGCGAAAACAAAAATTATCTTATAATAGCATGTATTATCTTATTTGCCATAATTTTCTCAGCTGAAGTTTAAATGACTATGCTGAGTCATTGATCCTGTTTTTGTGACAGTTGTCTATCTTTCCACAGGACGGATGACAAACTGAAAACTTGTGGTACCTTGTTGTGTTGTTGTCAGGGCTACACCAATGACATTAGGTAGACTAAAAGAAAGACAGTCGGGTTTGTCTATCAATGGGGGTAGTTTTTTTGTCAAATAAACACTGTTGAGTAGATTAGGAATTTAAATTGGTTTGCTTCAAAACTTGTTTCCTAGTCTGGCAGTGGGAATTTATAAACGTGTTAATCAAGAAGACGAATGTTAGGGAGGAGGGAGCTATTGTTTACATGGCTACTCTTCTTACTCAAGTTATGTTCATTAATTTTTTATACCCTTGTGTTTAAACGGACCTGCATGAGATATAAAATGACTATACATCACATAAGGATTTAGTTATAACTGCACGTATTCTAATTATAATTTGATTCCTTCAGTAAAAATCTTACTAGGGTGAATTATGTGTTGTTCTTACTTGCATGGGCCTGATTGTATTGCTTTCCTCTAGATCTCCTTTTGCATCTCTCTATTTTCCCCAGTGATCCTCCCTAGTTTGTTGTAAACACTCTGCCCTAAAGGACTTCCTTTAAACGGAACTCGTCAATGTAAAGTTGAGGAATTTCAGTAATGACTAGTTATCATGATATATGCTTCAATTTTGATGCTGCATTGTGCTGAATAAGTGATGAGTTCTGGGTTCATATTCCTTCACATCTGTGTGATTAGTGGGAACTCTTTCTTGGGTTCTCACGTAGTAAAGAAGCAATTGGCTTGTGGTTACCTGGTGTGAGTCACCGTTCTAAACCAAGGTACTCCCTCCCCTTTCTCTCCCTCAGTCTAATTCGAAAGCTGAATAAATTATTTTCTTGTGATAGGCCTTGGTTTCCCACCATCAACTGCTATTCAGACCTTCATATCACTACAACAAATAAGCCTTTTGGCGACCAAATATTTTGGTCCCTAAAACTACTATTTTGGTCTCTAAATGATTTTTCTGACAAAATTAATTTTGTCACTAAAAAAGTCACTAAAAGTGCGTCTAGAAAAGTCTTTAGTGACGAATTTTTGAAAATGTCACTAAAAATGACAATTGATCTCTGTTAGAAACCAAATCGATTTACTCAAACTTATATATATCTGCAAAAAAAATTGAAGAAGATGAAGAATAAATTATATAAGATCTCAGAATATGTGTGTGTGTGTGTGAAGCTATAAAAAATGATAGAAAATCTTAGAAAATTGTGCATCAAGATGAAGATCTCAGCAACCATGAAAATCATTGATTTACCTTCCGATTGAAGCCGGATCTTCAACGATCGATTCGGATTGAAGCTGAGATCAGTAGCTGAGATCTTAATCGACTCGGATTAAAGTTACAATAGGTAAGATTGATTGAAGCTGAGATCAATACAAAGATTGATTCGGATTGAAGTGAAGATCGATTCTGATATGAGGCGGCACAAAGATTGATTCGGATTGAAGCTAAAGATCAATCGAAGTTGAAGATCGATTGAGTCCTAGACAGAAGAAATAGCTGAGATCGAGAGTCCAGTGAAGATCGATTCTGATATCGCGTATTTGACAACCTTTAGCAACAGAGGAAATAGCTAAGATTGATTGAGTCCTAGTGAAGATCAATTCTATATTGCGTATTTGACAACCTTTAGCAACCAAATTAATTGGTCTCCAGCTTTTACCCACCTCACAGACGCGCGGGTGTGAGGGAAGTGTCGAAATGAACGTACGTGTTAATTTTTTGGTCCCTAAAAGTCTCTAAATAATTTTTTTTTTGGCCGATTCTAAAAGAATATGGTGTGTTTGTATAATTTTTCCTTAAAGTTTATTTTTGTCCCTAAATGATAGTTTTTAGAGACTAAATATAATTAGTCCCTAAATATTAGTCTCTAAATCACTGTTTTCTTGTAGTGTATTGCCTTGCGCTCTTTGACATCCATCAATAACACATGTATTCAGGTAAAAGTAATTTACAAAGTATTTGTTTTTTCCTGTTTTTTTCTGTTATTTGAACAGTAAGAAATCTTTCTCACAGTTGATTTTCAATATGTCCTCCATGAGAGTAGAACTCTTTTGTTTTCAAACGTCTCTTCGATATGTCAACTTCACCTTATTTGCCACCAGCAACCAAAATGGTTTGAAAGTTAGCAATTATGAATGTTGACGTTGGATAAGTTCATCCATCCACTGGCGGTTCCTTCAAATTGACTGAATCTCTTTCTTGGAATTATCTTATTCTGGATCTAAAGGATAATAGCATGTATTATTGTATAGTCCCAAATGGTTTTATTTGCTTAGCTGCCCTGCCCCTTTATACTGCTGATCTTTGTGTCAAATTACATTTAACTACCAATTTTTTTTCTTCTCTTCATATTCTGAGTTTTTTTCTCGTGTTACTAATTTTATTTGAAGTGATAACCATATTAAAGGGCTTCCACCTACGCTTTAGAAGTTTCCTTACAATGGAATCTGCCCTTGCGGGTCCACTTGAAAATATGAAAAAAGAGGTGTGGAGGTTCTTGTGTGAAAAGTGGTCTGACAAGGACTATAAGGTAACTTTGTCAATCTTGTAGATGAGAAATGTTTAATAATAAAATAAACACTTTGTACTCTGACGTATGCATTCAATAATAGGTGAGATGTGACAAGAATAAGTTGAATTGGGAGAAGTTGAAAATGCTCGACATTGCTGGCTCGAAAGCCTTCAGAAAAGTGCAATATGATGAGGTATTAATTATAGAATCTATAATTTATGTTTTGCAATTGTGATTGAACAACGTAATCTATGTTGATGTTTTATATTTTTTTTTTCGCTAATTTTACTAGATGACAATATATGAATGGTCTAGATTGAAAATAAATTAAGAGATTAGGATTTAAATTAATAAAATTAAAAATTCATACATTATTTTGTTACAAGAGTCCAGTCTTAGGCTTTTCTTTTTAATTTTCCCACATATTTTTTAACACTTGTACAAATTTTGACACATTTTTTTGCATATATCTATACACCTTTTATACACTAATAGCATTTTTTATATTATATTAATTATATATATGAAATGATGATATATATATATATATATATATATATTTAATTTGTTACAAATGTATTATCTGTCACTAATGATGCTGGCATCAAAGCACAACATATAATTTTGAGAAAATAACAAATCAGTTGAAAGTTGAAAAAAAAAAAATTAGATTAATGGTAAAGTTTATAAACTTTAATTATTAAAGTCACCAACCATTCTATGTATTTGTAATTATTTTTGAAAAGTTACCTTGATTTATAATTTTTCCTATAATTTTTCGAAACTAGCACATCAACACATAAAATATTGCTTACTTAATTAGTCATAGCCTCAAAAGAATAGCCTAATTTTTCAAATCAATTTGATTAAACCATATCTCTAAACTTGCTGTTATCATCTCCTACACTTTTTCTGAGAAGTTATTTAAAGGTTTTAGAACAATATAATATGGTGTTTCAATTTAAATGCGATTGGTTCATCTCTATGTTACTTATTTTATTTTGTTGTTTCAATAAGGGTACATTCAGTAATCTTCCTTCTTTTTGAATAAATTTCCAATAAGTGGAATGAAGGCATAAAATTACATATCCATAATTTGTGTCAAGAAATTTAATCAGAAAATTAATGTATCAGGCAAATTCAACTCTTATATATGGTGAAACACACACCTTGCCCCGGCAGGCAAAGAGGAAGTACTGCTGCCCGAATTTACACCAAATCCTGTTTTGGAGGTACTTGAGAAAATTTTCCTTGCAACTTGGGTTTGACAAATTCCATCTCGGGCATGTCTTGTTTGTTCTATAAATTCTTCCTGGGCAATTTATGCCATTTCCTGTTTCTGAATGAATATTTTTACTAATTTGGTAGTTATGGGTTGGAGATCGCCTTTAACAGCATATGAGTAAGACTTGGGGATAGTGTGACATTGTTTTGCAACTTAATTTGGTTAATGGTATTGTTCAGGTCAGTTAAACAATGTTGAGCTCAACTATGAACCATGCAAGGTAACCATTCTTCATCTTGTTTTCACAACATCAATGTAAACTGTGTCTATCTTGGAGTAATTATTTTCAAATTTTTGTAGCAAGTTGATTTAGTTTAATCTTTGTTAACTCTTGAATATTGGTAGTGAATTTTGGGCGGCTTTGTGTACTAAGATTTATGTGTGATTGTTGCAATACTACAATTGGCACATTAAATTGCAATCTATTAAATTAATTTATCATTGGATAATTTTTAATTGGTAATCTATTTGAGAGTTTGGCCTATTCTATGCAGGTCCTGCAAGTTTGCGTCGATTTGAAGTTTGGGAGCTCTTGCTAGATTTTAAATGCCATTTCAACAAAGCCATTGAGAAGAAAATGCGATGAGTTGAGTTGTTTTGTTATGTAGGTAGATATAACTTCAATTATAATCTGTTCATTGAATAGTTGAATGCTACAAACAATGCTTATGGCACTAGCCTTATAAATTGGAAATGATACTTTTGAAATCTCTGTCAGTTTATGATATACAATTAAGATATTACATACTAATGAATTAGAGTATGGTATTTGTTTGTTATTGAAATATCTTTTGATTAAGCCTCTTTGAATGTGATGAGCATTTTTTTTTTCTTTCGTGTAGTTGAATTTTAATTTGGAGATGAACAGATGGTCTGGTGATATGTTTGATATTTTCTGTTTGGTTGTTGAGAAATTCAGAAAGGAATATAAGTTGATGTTCATACTAGTATTTTTAGAGTAATTGTTATATAAAAAAAAATAAAAAAAAAATTATCAAACTTTTACAGACCAATTTTAGTTGTCTTAAAAAAATTATAACCTTTACACATTACTTTCATTCGTCCCAAAAACTAAACTTTTAAAGACCAATTTTTTTGTTGTCCCAAAAATTAATTTTTGTCTCCATAAATAGCCCTCCGGGACTATAATTAGATTTTTAGAGACAAATTTTAGTTGTTTCAAAATCAAAACTTTTTGCAACTATATATTTTTGTCTTTAAAAGTCTATTTATAGTGATAAATGCAAAATTTTGTTTCTAAAAGTCATTTTTTGACTTTTCGGGATGGGCCATTTGGGACAAATTTCGTGACGGAGAAAATTGGTGGGCTAAAGTTTTTTCCAACAAATATTACACTTTTAAGGACGAGATAAATTTGTCCCTAAAATACTGATTTCTTGTAGTGTCTCTTGGAAAGGTTACATAAGATTGCAATTTGCAACATCCAGTGGACGTTAAGGATGGTGCATTGAGGTGTGTGATGTTCATGTTGGGGTGTTGATCTTTCTATGGGTTTTGGGTGGATGGATCATCAAGGTACATCTTTCTATTGGATAGGTTTAGGCTCCAAAGACACCTTCAAAGGTAGGCTTCTTTGTTTCAATGAATAGATCATCCATTCATAGAAAAATCATAATATAAGATAACAAGAATTAAGACGAGAAAGAAAAAATATTCAACATTCAACAATATTCTTTACACTGAAGTAGGTTTTCTAGTACCATATGTAAAGCCCTTCTCAAAAATATAAAGCAGCTATTTGGTGTAGCTTCTTATACTTGAAAGTCCTGTTTGTAGGGAGAATTTCATAATGACTTTTATGAAAAGATGTATGTTTGGTGAATGGTTTGTTTGGAAGTCCTTTGATGTTGGTCTAATTTAAAACAACCAAACATCATATATGTGGGGCCCAACATTAAAAATGAATATCAAACATGACCTTGATGTGTTTTTATATATACATGTAATTATATATTTCTAAATTAACAAATGTATACGGTAATGTGTAGAAAAAAGTCAAAAGATATGTCCACCCCTCCAAAAATAATAAAATTTTCACTTAATATATGTATATATGTTTGAAACTAACAATAAGGATATTAGAGGTATTACTGGCAGCTTATTAAACAATAAAATTTTCACTTAATGTCACCAAACTTACCAAAAATAATAATAATAATAATAATAACAATAACAATAAATAAATAAAACAAAAGTACTTCTATGGTCTCAATAGAAGTCCCACCAAACTCCATTCTCTTCCAGTTACCCCGCTATGAGAGCCTTGGATGACGAGGACATAATCGCTATAATAAGAGGCACTATAAGAAAATTGGACTTAAAAGACGGAATTTTTTGCGATGGCACAACTTGCCGTCGTAAAAAATGTGACTTTTTTAGATGGCACAGCTTGCCGTCGCCAAAAATGTGACATTTTGAGACGGCACAACTTGCCGTCACCAAAAAATGTGACTTTTTGAGACGACACAACTTGTCGTCGCAAAAAAAATGTGACTTTTTCAGACTGCACAACTTGCCGTCACAAAAAATAGAGTATTTACGACGGCATAAAATGCTGTCGCGAAAAAATGGAGTATTTGCGATGGCAGAAATTGTTGTCGCAAAAAAATAGAGTTTTTGCGACGGTACCAGCTGCAGTCGCAAAAAAAAAAGAAGAGTTTTTTGCGACTGTAATAGGTACCGTTGCACACAAAAAAAAAGTATATATATATATATATATATATATATATTGTGGCTTTGAGACAGCTTCATATATATATAGTCACAAAATGGTTTAAATAAATACAATGGTATTTTTCTATCACAAAAAAAAAAACAAAAAAAAAAAAGCGACGTTGTCTTACTCTTTTGAACATTTCTCTTTTCACTCATTTTTTCATCTTCCTATCTCTCTGTCTCTGTCTCTATCTCTGTCTCTTTTCTCTCTCTCTCTCTCTCCCTCTCTCTTGCTCTCTCTTTCTCTCACTCATCACTCTTCTCTGTCTGTCTATCTCTCTCTTTCTCTTTGTGTCTCTGTCTCTCTTCTTTTTCTCTCTCTCATTCATCACTCTTCTCTGTCTGTCTGTCTGTCTATCTCTCTCTTTCTCTCTGTGTCTCTCGTCCATCTCTCTTCTATCTATCTCTCTCATCTCTCTTCTTTCTCTGTCTCTCTTCTCTCTCTCTTCTCTTTATCTCTCTCGCTCATCTCTTTCTGTCTCTCTCTCGTTTATCTCTTTTCGTTCTTTTTTTTCTCTCTCTCTCTCTTTGTCTATATCTTTCACCTATTTTTTCATTTTCCTCTCTCTCTACTCCTTCTCTCTCTCACTCATTACTCTTCTCTCTCTGTCTATCTGTCTCTCTCTCTCTTTCTCTCTCTCTGTGTCTCTCACTCATCTATCTCTTCTCTCATCTCTTTTCTCTCCCTGTCTCTTTCGCTCATCTCTCTTCTCTCTATCTCTTTCATCTCTCATCTCTCTCTCTCGCCCATCTCTCTCTCTCTCTCATTCATCTATCTTCTCTCTATGTCTCTCTCGCTCATCTCTCTTCTCTCTATTTCTCTCTCTGTCTCTCTCGTTCATCTCTCTTCTCTCTCTATCTCTCTCGCTCATCTCTCTTCTCTCTATCTCTCTCTCTCTCTGTCTCTCTCGTTCATCTCTCTTCTTTCTCTGTCTCTTTTTCTGTCTCTCACTCTCTATCTCTTTATCTTTTTGTCTATTTCTCTCTCTCTCCCCCACTATGTTCACGTTGTTCACTCTCTCCCTTCCGTCTTCTCTATTTACTAAGTTCCCTCTCGATTTATCTATCCACTACAAGAAAATGCACTTTTAGCGACCACTTTGTCTCTCTCTTGCTCATCACTCTGTCTCTGTCTCTCTCTCTGTCTCTGTCTGTCTGTCTGTCTGTCTCTCTCTCTCTCTCTCTCTCTCTCTCTTACCACTCATCTCCTTTACCACCTTCACCACTACTACAAACGTCATTCCACTACCACCATTACTACCACTGTCGCCACTTCACCTCTACGACTACCATTACTACTACCATTGCCACCACTCCACTACCACCACTACCACTACCATCACCTCTCATTCATCCCTGCCACTCCATTTACTCTACCACTACCACAACTTCACCACTAATCTCCTTCGCTATCACAACCACCACCACCATCATCTCTTATCCACCACCTTCACCATTACTGTCGCTCCCTCTCCTCTACCACAAAAAATTAGTTCATGATTTTTAATAACCAAAAAAAGTGGGCCGCAGAAAAATATTTTTCATTAACCACAGAAAATTAACTTTTATTTTAGTGAAAAATATTTTTCATTAAAATATTACCCCTACTTCTACCAAATAAAAAATAATAATATTTTTTTCATTAAAATAAAAATGAAACAAATAAATTTTCAATCTTAGTAACTAAAAAAAAAAAAGAATTTTTTTTTAAAAAATTCATTAACTACAAAAAAATATATATTTTAACAAAAAATAAATTTTTTTGACGATGGCAACCCCCATTTCAAAAAAAAAAAAAAAGAGTTAAACAGCATTACTTTGTTATTTAAATTTCATTTTTGAGCCCCCAAAAAAAATATTTTTATTTTTTATTCCCGCCCTTTTTTTTTCCATTCCCGCTCCCTTCCCTCCCCTCCAAAACAAAAAATCCCCAATCTCAAACCCAAAAATCCCTAATCTTTTCTTACCCCCCTCTCTCTCTTTCGATTGATGGCGAGCGGCAGAGGAGCAGCAGCGTCGTCGTCAAAGGAGGAGCAGTGACCCCTCCCCAAAACAAAAAATCCCCAATCTCAAACCCAAAAATCCCTAATCTCTTCTTACCCCCCTCCCTCTCTCTCGATCGACGGTGAGCGGCGGAGGAGCAGCATTGAAGCAACAGCAGTGTCGGCCTCCTCTTCCGCCACCTCAACATCTCTTATGTCTTTCTTTCTTTACTCTTTTCTAGATCTTATTCACTGAAATTCCAAGTTTCTTTCAGCATAATAGTCTATTGAATCTATGATAAAATGTAGTGGAAGAGTTATATCAGTTGTTAAGTTTGATGCATTACTGGTTTTTGTGTCATACATTGCAAAAAAAATGAGCTTTTAAATTTCAAGCAATATGGGTATTCATGAATCATTGACACCATTGCATTTTATTGAATATACACTGAAATACTGGATTAAAGTGCGTTATGTTGCTGATTGTGCGTTACTGGATTTGTGTTGTTTTATGTTTAAGTTTATTTGATTGAGTATAACCCTTTGGATTTTGTCTCTAATCTTTTACAACTTTCAGAATGCTTGGTATTCATGTATTTGTGTGGGCACATTGTTTAGATCGTACGTTAATGTGCATAAATTTGTTGGGCTGAAATTGTAAAGCCCCCGAGTGATACCTTTAATTAGCTGGGTTAAATTTGAAAATTAGCTGTTAATCTCAGTTTATTAGTTAGTATTCATGGGTCACTGAACTAGATTTGTGGAGACATTAGATTAATGTCTATGATTGTATATGATTATGGCACCAACCTTGAGGATTCCTAGGCTTTGTTTCCAACCTAGGCTGGTGATAGTGGTGAGACAAGTGTTGTGAACCAAATGAGGTAGGTGCAGTGCAAAATAATTTAAAGCTTTTTATTGAATTTAACCTTGAGGATTCCTTTGGATTTATGCATTGCCCTATTGTGTGTGACCTTTTAATTAACTCTTCCTCTCCAATATTTTTAAGTTCTCTTGGTTGGGTGTCCATTGGCTATTCTTTCGGCCATTGGAAAAATTAG